CAGCAGATTTGGACCCCCCTCAAAATGGACCCCCGGTCCAAATCCGCTAGCGAATATGGACCTATGGGGGTCTTTATTCGCTTGCGGATTTGGACTCCCCTCGCGAATTTGGACCCCTCGCGTATTTTATCATTGCAACGTACTGTATTTTGAATATTGCACTGAAAGCGTTTTTTAAAAATCGTCATAAATCTCATCCGATTTATTTTAAAAACCGTACGGAGATTTTTAGATCATCAAATCTTAGATTTAATTTTACATTAAAGAATCTCGTCAAAGTTTATGATTTATAATTTTTCTGCTACATGGGTTTATTTCTATGATCTTGGAATGTGCGAGAACTGAGAAGCGCATGAAGCCTTCACAAGTATTTTACTCCTTGGAATTGCTATCTGCTCTGACTCTTAACTGCTCAAATAAAAACGGAAAATGAAAATATATTTCAAATTATTTTTGCCATATAGGTGATTGATTACCTACCATACTCTTTAGTTTAGTCTTTGCTCTTCACTACAAATGCAATAGTATGTGTTTCTCGATTATGATAATGACTGATTACTAAATTATATAGATTCAGTATAGATCTAGTGTATATACTTCGTTTTATAAATTCGTGTTCAGTATGCTGATTTGTAGCTATCTGTAACTTCCGAGCCTAAGAAAACTTTGCCTACCAAGTGGTGAAAACTGATTATATTATAAAGTTTGTGATATCCAACAACGGCGACAATGCCCTTAGGATTGGATAGCAAATGGAAATCATCTTTCAAACCAGGAAGATGATGGAAATCCCGTAAATCCCCATTTCTTGAATAAACTTCTATATTAAGATCTGACCAGAATGAATCTTGGTTCGGGGTGTTTCTCAAAACGACGATTTCCTCCTCATGTGTAGCATCAAACGCCACACCGCAAACCCAAGATTCTGTTTCGTGTTGTTTAAGAGGTACCGGAATTATTCGTTCCATCTGTCCTCCGTCTGTGATTGCGCAGATATATACCTCGTTCCCTTTCGGTCGTGCAATGATGACTTCACGTTTGTTTGTAACGCACGTATGTTGTGTCTCAACAACCTCAGGTTTCTCATCAGGACTGCCAAGTGTAGGCAAGGAAAACGAGCATTCCCTGTTCAGTTGGCCTTGCATGTCACACGTCAAGACAAATACCTCCCCAAACTCATTGCACAAAACGATCTTATTCTCCAGCACACGCATAACCCAGCAAGTTTCACACTCAGTCGGCGGAAGACCCTTTGTAATTTTACGCAAAAACGTGCCTGTCTTATCAAATACAAATAATTTCAAAAAATAAACTCCTGCATTTACAATATGGGAATCAGCTGCACGTCTTAGTTGTAGGATATACACATCGTCATTCGGGCCGATATCTACAGACACAACTTCTACTTTAAAATCTTCGTCTACTTTAAAATCTTCGACTACTTTAAAATCTTCGTCTACTTTAAAATCTTCGTCTACTTTAAAATTAGAAAAAATTACGTCATCCATATCATGCCAATAAATACATCCTGCACTATTAACAGCCATTGCCATTGGAGAACTATCATAAAAGTAATCAAAATCAAATGCTGTACTATTGTCACTGAACTCATAATTGGGCCATCTCTTTCTCATTTGTTTTATCCGTTTTTCTTCTTCATCTTTTTGTCGAGCTTTTCGTCTAATCTCATCTGTGCGTACAATGATATGTTCCCTAGGCCTCGGCCGTTTACTATCAATCAGTTCTATTACTGGCCATTCAAAAGAACTGGGAAGTGCTATCTTCGTAAATTTCAAGATGAAATCAGATAAGATGTTATTTATTGCAGTTATGGACTCAACTATCTCACTTCTTTTTGTTTCTTTAAAGAGAGATTTGAAACCTCCATTGATGTGAACCGTGAACGTTTCACGAACAGCTGGTGAGTCGTGTAGTTCTTGAAGGTACAGTAAACAGTCCTGAGCGCCAGCTTCCGGGTCTTCAAGAAACTTTTCGAGAATGCTACTGGCAATACGAAGTTTGCAAGCCATTATTCTGTCCTCGATACTCAAAGCTGTGTTACCAAACGCGACTGTCGCTTGCTCTCTGGACATTTTGAACGATTCCTTCGCACAAACCCAGCGTTCTTGTGAAACTATTTCAAAATTTGAAAGCGACGAAGCTTCACCGCAGTACGTTGTTTCGTTTGCTGGGATGTTGACGCACTAGCTCCTGCTACAAACTCTTCTGCGGCATCAGTGATAGCTGCTTGTACATTCTGTGTGCGGGTAGATGTATCTCGAACGGCCAGTCCCATACGAGAGATACCTTCTTTTAAAAAGCTGAGGCTACTATTAAGAGGTTGCCTCGACAAACCCCGAAGGCTTGATTTTATATCATCAATTTCTGAGACAATTATTCCGCGCAAGCTCTCATCCGTTAGATCTTTATCGCTTAGATAACTAGCTGTAGCACTACGGGCTTTGTTAACGACTAAACCTAGAATACTTTTGAAAATATCAGACATGTTGACTGCGATATATTAAAGAACTTGTATGAATCAGTTCACCAATCTTGTGCCTTGTCTTGTGACTGTCATGGTTCAATACTTCAATTGTGTGTCATGGTAACAGGCATACGAGATTGGTCATTCAGTAACCCCCTGGTGTGACCAGATTTTGAATTGAAGTATTACTGTATCAGCGCTAGCGGAGCAAACCATTTTTTTGTCTCGTGAACAAGTTCAGGCTGACAAATAAAGCCCGTTCTTAAACAACGTTTGTGCTTAGCCTTAGTTAAAGCAGAAATCATCTATACTAAGGACGAATTCAGAGGGACGAATTAAAGGCACACATTCCAAAAATTTGGGGGGGGGGAGTACTTCATTGTTCAGGGGCCGACTTTTGACCTTTGTTTAACACATGTACAATGCATATGTCCCTCCTGTATCGTGGCCCTATATAGAGGTGAGCCTTGCACAACTTTCCTATTGATGTCCGATATGTGGGTTTCACTAACTGAGTGGGACTGTGCAGCGCTTGGTGGTCAAAACGAAAGACGGTTTATACGGTGTTTGCTGACAAACACATGCATGACGCATTTATACATACGGTTACAGCTCAACAGCTGGACTCTGTAGCTCAGTTGGTTAGAGCGCTGCACCGGAATCGCAGGGCCGTAGGTTCAATTCCTACCAGAGGACCTTGTGCTACATTTTTCGCAGTCGTTCCTGGTTAGGTCTTAAAATGTATATATTCTCACTTGGATTACAAACCCTAACATTCTAATATTAATTCCACCAAGTGAAGTGCAAGAATCCAAATCATTGAAGTCCTGTAAATATTTAGTCCTTCGCATCAATCAGAAAAAATGCCAAGTGAAACCTAACCTATATGCCTTGAAAATTAAGACTTCAACTTCATTAATTAAGACACACGGGTTGTAACGGGCAGTGATCTTTGCAACAGAGCTGACTATAGTTAATCTTACTCGAAAATACTGACATAGAATGATGTGGAGACAGAACGCATCTCAAAACGGCAGGTCAGAAGCCACATGCATGGTTTGCGAAATTGCGTTAAAAAAGCGAGCGAATAAATTCAGGTACCTCTTGAAATAACACGAAACAGAATTTGGAGGTTAAAACTTAAAAGAACTCAAAAATTGTCGAGAAGATTTCGTAGTTCAAGAAGATTATTATTGCTGTTTCAACAACTTTTCGTTTACAATTATGCTGTCTATAAGACTATAATCTGTCATTTGGTCACTACTCACTAGAAAAACAAGTCAATGTCAATGACAATGTCAATGTAGTTTGGCTGAATCGTGCACTGTCGTGACTTATTTCATAGTTATTAACTATGCTTATTTCAATACATCAAAATCATCTTCATATCTCGTCTCGACAAAGTGGAACTGTATATGGTAGACTTGCTCCACTGAATGCAGTTTCTCTTTTCGTGTTGTTCATTTTATGCCATTACTCATTAGCCATGCATGTATGAAGATACAATTTACAGAATACAGTCAATACAGTCACTCCATTCGTCCGTAGTTGAAGCAAAGTCTAATTTTCATCAGTCTCTTGATTTGTAGATGACTCTCCTTTGGTCTGTAAGAAATGTGAACATTACTTAAAGTTTAGAACCAGGGATTAAAATATTGTTTGATCTTTACTCTTTATCAATCTTTAGCTTGCGCCTTAGTCTTAGAACTATCGAGTTCCATGGCATGGGTACGGTAGCCTGTCATGGACTCATGGCAGGATGCAATACCTCATTCTTGGCTGCACATGAATCAATCTGGATCGTAACTGGACCATCATTTTGTATTTCCACTTGCATGTAGGCTGCAAATTTCCCATCTGAAACATGGTTTAATGCAGTCTTTACAGAAATTGAATAAAGTTTTTAATAAAAAGGATTTGAATGTATCCAAATTGTATATTTGTATTCATGATTAATTCTTGTCTTTTGTTTGTTTGTTTGTTTGTTTTTCTGTTTGTTTGTTTGTTTGTTTGTTTGTTTGTTTGTTTGTTTGTTTGTTTGTTTGTTTGTTTGTTTGTTTGTTTGTCTATTCATTTGTCTATCTGTTTGTTTTTCTGTTTGTTTGTTTGTTTGTTTGTTTGTTTGTTTGTTTGTTTGTTTGTTTGTTTGTTTGTTTGTTTGTTTGTTTGTTTGTCTATCTGTTTGTTTGTTTGTTTGTCTGTCAGTTTGTTTGTCTGTCTGTTTATCTGTCTGTCTGTTTGTTTGTTTGTCTGTCAGTTTATCTGTCTGTCTACTCCGTTTATCTGTACCTGTTTATCTGTTTGTTTGTTTGTGTTTGTTTGTTTGTTTGTTTGTTTGTGTTTGTTTGTTTGTTTTTCTGTTTGTTTGTTTGTCTATTCATTTGTCTATCTGTTTGTTTTTTCTGTTTGTCTGTCTGTGTTTGTTTGTTTGTTTGTCTATCTGTTTGTTTGTCTGTCAGTTTATCTGTCTGTTTGTCTGTCTACTCTGTTTATCTGTCTGTTTGTTTATCTGTTTGTTTGTTTGTCTACTTGTATACATAAAAGATGGGGAAAGGATTCAGTTCAGTAACCTTTAATTTTCTCTGTTTGATATCTTTTCCTCATTTCTGCCAAAAATTCTTCATAAAACTGTTGTGATTTTTCACCATCCATGGCCTTGTGGAAATCAGGCTTGTTTCCTTTTAACACACACATTAATGTGAACTAAAATAACATAATCATAATTGTTATATGCTACTCTGTGTAACTGACTCTCAATGAACCAGTTAATGGATCAACACAGGACACAAACAGTGAGACTGGTTATCCTATGTGAGTCTAAAAGATCAAAGTTAGAAGTTATTCACCTGACTAACACACATAACTTCATAATTTAGATCCATAACACTCTTCCGCCATCGTTTACCATCCTCTTCAAATAACCTCAACTTGAGAATTTTATTGGCTCTAAGTAGATTTAAGCGGTAAGACTTGTACTCCAAAACTTGGGAGCACAATTTACACCAAATACGAGAGGGATGGGGAATACAGGGGTGCACATCCTTACTAAGCCTTGGAAAAGCAATTCCAAAAACAAAATATGGACAATCCAGTGTGGAAAGTTTGTATTGTGCGGGGGATATCCCCGCACAACTTTGATGCATTCTATATATATTTACTATTAAATTTTCGAAATCTCCCCCGCACAATTTCCAAACTTTCCAGTCAGGAGGACAATAACATGATTGTCCAATTTTTAATAATACTAACAAATAATCTATGTCTTTCTTTGTATCATCTCGGCCAATCCCAACAAGAACACACAATCCTTCCTTGATTGAGCTAATTAATTCACCATCAACTAAAATAATCACGTGAGAATATGCAGTTTTTTAATATTTGTAACTGTTCATCGTCAGAAGCCACCGACGGTACATATTAATTCTAAAAATTCAATATACGCGGTTTCCTCATACCTGTCACACTTGCTTGCTTCACACGTTGAATTATTGCTCGCATTTTATCAGCGAATCCCACAATACTGGCAAAATCGTAAATTCATACTTTGCAAAATTTAGAAATTTAGTTCAGGCGCTAGATGGTAACTTGTTTAAAGCCGAAGAACCGCTGACTGATAGCACTTGTTGCACGAGCTCAGACGTGCCGTCATTGGCATCTAAAGTGAACAGTCTCAGACAGAAACTTGATTATTGTCAGTTGGAACTTAAATGTTTGTAGCAGGAAATTGAACGTTTAAAGACTAAAAATACTAAAGACTATTTAATTAAACCCAATTAAACTCGATAACCAATGGCCCAACATCTTTTCTATGCAGAAATATATTAATCTAAATTTGATTGACAGCACTGACCAGTAATTCTCCCTTAAAATTTGACAAACCATAGAGACACTCCTGTCCTAGCATGCACTCAAATACCCTGCGCTGACCATCACTACCCAGTGCCCGCAACTGAGCTGCTGGTAACTGGAGTAATTTCTCTCCTACTTCGTTCGAAATGTTCACTTGTAACTGCTGTTGTTCTGACTCCATAATAGTGATGCAAAGATCGTACTGCCAACACCAGAAACCATCAAGGTTGAACAACTGTAAACAAACAAGAAAGACTATGTTTACACTATACTACACTGTTAGGGCAATGGGGGTACCTGCCCCCCCCCCTCCCAGCACCCCTGTCGAGGCCTATATACATACCTTCAAGGCATTGTTATGCGTAGTCATCTCTGCCATGCCTTTGGTGTGACATTTTTCACATTTAAGCTGCCCATCCATGTCTTCAACCACCTGGCCACGGCAAGAGCAATGGACCCGCACCACACGTTCATCTCTAACTCTTGAGCGTACGTGAGAGATTATTCCTTTGAGAACAAACTGTGAGGACTCTGGATCCAGGCAAGCCAGTGAGGTTACGGTACAGAGGGAAGACGTTGCCAGCCATCCTTGAAGATAACTAAGATTCCAGAGGTCACCATCTTTGTCCGTGTTCAGGTCCATCGTTATCCCCATACTGTAGTCACCTGAAGTTAAGGAAATAGTGAAACATTTTTAATAATGGTGTTCAGTGCAGGTAGTGTTCTACAGTTCAAGCCACCATAGTTGACTGGTCCCTAAATTGTTGTATCCACAATGGATTTGAAGAAGAAATTCCAATCTCAAACCCTGTAATACCTACTTGAAACATGAAGATTTTTCATAAGGACAAACTGGCCAGAATACAGCACGGTACCACCTTTATATGGTTCCACAACCACAATGCTACAGACCCCAGACTCGTCCTGCACCCTGAGGTCATATTTCACCATATCAATCCCCTCTCCTCTAAGTAATTTGCAACCACCCACAGATACAACTTGTCCGGCAAGTGTGATATTGGTCATATTTTGTTTTATCTCAGAAACACCAAGTCTCTCTGGGTACATAGAGCAGTCTAACATTCCCTTGTTGTCCTTGGCAACATACAATAGTTTTGAGCCGGCTTTCTGACTCTGTAATACTTCTTGCTCGTGGGCCAGGGGTTGACAAAAAATGATCGTCTCCGGGCCATACTCCAACACAAAACACTCTAGGTCGTCTGGTACAAGAAAACATCGCTTGATGTAGAGGGTGTCGCCTTCTTCAAAAAGGTTCGCCATGGCCAAGTACTCTTCCCAAAGCTGGAATTTCGCTTGAATTCCAACATCATCAGTGACGAGAACAGTAATTTTGTTTGCAGTATTGCCATTTTGGTAATGAATGGATTCTTGTGGAGAGATCTCAGTAACTTTGACTTTAATGATACTACTGACATATTGAGATTCACTGAACTGATCAAGCCCTAAGAATATTGTATTAAAAACATGAGGCACACACACAGTATGTACCAGAATTGTTTTAGGGAATGTAGGGTGAGTTTATGCCATCCTACATGGGGGGATTTTCAAGGTGGGCAGCCTTTCAAATAGGGGGAGAATTTTCAGAGGGATGGCATTCAAGTGGGGGGAAAACTTTATTAAGTGGGAGACAAGCAGACTTTCAAGTGGGGGGAGATTTTCTTGAGGGAGGGGCAGACCTTCGAGTGGGGGGAGGTATTTTCAGGGGGGGCAGACAGACATTCAAGTTAACGAGTTAAAACATACCCTCCAAGGAAGCAAAATTTTGGCAAAAATTCTCATTATGCTCATCATTAACGAGCACAACAAAACTTTCAGATGGGAGCAGCCTCAAAGACTTCTTCCTGCGGCCGTCGAATAGCCGACACCCAGTAAACCTCAATTTAGAACCGTTAGCCATTATCTCATCAACTTCTGCATATAACTTTTGATGAAGGTACATCTCCATCGTAAAACTGGATTCAGCACTGGATTCTTCTATCACAGCAATACGCGTGTGAGTCCCTTCGACAATTTTAACCTCTTTCAAAAACACCTCAAATACGGCTTGGGGGGAAAGATGCTTCGATAAGACAATCGACCTTAAACTATCAGCTGAATGCATTCCCCCTTTAGCCTGCAGTTTTTCGATCTTTCTCCAAGCGCATTCCAGTTCAGAAAACATGATAGCTTTGGTAACTCCTGTCGGATAACGTGATAAAAGCGTTGCTAGTTTTGTGAAAAACCAGCCCCATGGTATGCTAGTTTTCGTGCCTAGTCGTTGCTGGAATTCAGAAAGGAGCTTATCGATCGTTTCAACAAACATTTTTTAAAAGAATTGTACAAAATTTGAAGAAGTTTTAAAATCAATCTTTTTCAAAACAGCCCGCCATCTTGCAAGTGTTTCCACTTATTACCTTTTCGCTTCCTTGCTGAAAAATTTCCTTGCCTCTACCGTTGTTTGCATCGAAGGTGAACAGCCTCAGATAAAACATCGTCTTTTTCTGCCTCGTTCCCAGGGTCTTCCCTTGTTCACCACAGCAAGACCAAGTGTACACACGTAAAAACGCACAAGTTGTTACCAAATCTGTTCACAAGCTGTTAACAAGTTGTGTTCGCACTGCTTGTTCCCAGTTGTTGCAACAAGTTTGGAACAAGCTGGTAACAACTTGTAACAAGCTTGATGGCATTATCAGACTTGTTACAAGGTTGTTCTAACAAGTCTGATACAGTCACGATAAACAAGAATGTTACAAGGACGACACAAGGTTGTAACAATACTACTATATCATGACTGTATCGGACTTGTTGGAACAACCTTGTAACAAGTCTGATAATATCAACATTCAACAAGGTTGTTACAAATTGTTAACAGCTTCCAACCTTTATTCCAGATTGAAATTTCAACAAATTTTTCAATCAACGAAATTTGCAATTTTTATGTTCTAGGAATACACCACGTAAAGTTGTCGATCCGTAATCTTGGATGGAGTTGGATCACCAGTAGGGCGAATTAGATTTAATTAAAATATGTAACTATAATAAATATATTTACAACTCACTAGTACAACTAGTAGTACAATTTTGTTCAATATTATCTCACTTAGTGAAATCCATGCACATATATTATACCTGGCGCAGGCTATTATTTATATAACATGAAAACATGTTATATCAATGCATCTTGCCTTTATCATGGTGGGTTTTATGCCACCATATAATAAATAACATAATTATAAATATGACAAGTCTTCGTAGCATGATCCGGACATCTTTAGCAACCAGCGCGTCAGACAAAACACCGGTGGCTTTATTCACTTCATGACAAGCACACACAAAAATGAATGTCGTGATGATCACGTTCAATAGCGGTTGGTTTGGGATAAGAACTAGAATTCCCTTGGTGTCATTCGCTAGCCAGATATGGTATTGACCCACGAACAGCTAGATAAGAACAAAGGACAGTGAGGCCAGGTTCTCGTATAGGCCACGCGGGCATCTATATTACACGCGTAAAAATCTTACAACTTGTCAACAAGATGTATTCGCAACAGGCTTGTAGCAAGCTTGTGAACAAGTTGTAACAATGCTGTTAAAAGTTGCTACAAATTTGTCACTCGCAACTTAGACTACGTGCACACGGTAACGTTTTCGAGCGTTTTCATTTGCGTTTTCACGCTAAAACGGATGCGAAAACTATTAATTTACGACTGAAGTTGTAGTTTATTTAATATATTGGAGATATTTTCCTTTGAACCACGTGAACAGGGCATCAAAGCGATTAAAGGGACAAAAACGTTTTTGAAAACGCTCGAAAACGACGCCCGTGTGCACATAGCCTTATTGACAAACTGCTGAATTGCAGAACTTGTAACATGTAGTAATAAGGCATGACCTATTAGCATTAACCATTAGCGTACCTCCAAAGATATTTTTCCAACCCAAGCATAAAACATACTGAAATGTGAACGCATAAAACCGCTGACATTACGTAACAGAAGAAATGCAGTGATCTACAGAGAATAAGGAAATTATCAACATCTGTTAATTAATACAGGATATCAAATGTTGGTTGCCAGTGTACTTTGGTAACGAAGGTAAGTCTGTAAATATATACGACGTTCGTTTCACGTCACACTTAAGTTTCCATATGGTCGTAACGGCCATAAAGATTGAGTCACGATCTTTCTCATCAGCCGAAATAGAACAGTTTAGAACTGATAATAGGCAGAGTGATTATACATAGAGAATACTTATGATTTATATGTGGTTTACTGGTAAAAACTATTATAATCTGGCCGTTGAAAAAGATCGTGATTCTATCTTTACGACCGTTAAAACCAGGATTTAGTGAAACCTATCTACAGCGAAAAATTAAAGCACTTTCGTTAAGATCTATGCACATGAATCATGCAGTCCTAGGACTTACTGGTAAAAATGATACTACAGAATGAACTGCATTGCATTGAACCTTGCCACGGCAACCATAAGCTTGTATGGAATAACCCTGAAATTCAGAACAAACAATCCTAAGATATTTTTTTCTAATTTACTCTCATTTCTTCTTCAGGCAATGAATTGGATTGTGACGACCTACCATGATTGTCATGAAACAAATAAAATTGACAAGATAGGACACAGCTCGTGGAAACAATCTCTTCATATTATTATCTTCAATTACGCCATAACTACGAAACAATTGATATACCAGAGCAAACAACATCCCATACGTAACAATCTGAAAGGATGCAGAAAACATTCGTGTTGGTTCAGTGTGTAACAAGCAATGCTGTTCCAACAACTTGTCAACAGGATGTGTTCACGTTCACAGATCGTTGAGTTCAACAGACTTGTTACAAGTTGTTCCAACAATTTGTTATCGTCCTGCAATTCAACAATTTGCCAACAAGTTGTGAGAGACAACCTTTTGGCAACTTGATAAAACAACAGCATTGTTGCAACTTGTTGACAAGCTTGCTACAAACCTGTTGCGAACACATCTTGTTGAAAAGTTGTGAGATTTTTACGTGTGTACAAAGTCAGTATGTACAGAAACGTAAGATGAAATGCTTGTATTTTACTTACATAACGATCTAAATTTGATCTAAATATCCACTCCCTCACGTTATCTTTCTGATCTACAAACAGTTCTTTGATCGCCCACTGGGAGAATATCCATCGACAGACAAGAGACGAATTCCAAATTAAGTATGTTGTGACAAACATGAAAAGTAGCTTGGCAGAAATCCACGTCAAGTACTTTGGATCTTCTAGAGAAGATGAAGACACAGACTCAGAACTGAACAACTAAACGAACCTTATTTATACTGGATAGCTCTAGCATCGTTCAAAACTAGAGGTCCAGTATTTTCTCTAGTATTTTCTCTAGCAGTAACACAGGACCAATGAGAAATAACTCTGACTAAACTGACTTTATTTATACTGGATAGCTCTAGTATGTTCAAAACTAGAGGTCCAGCAACAGTATTTTCTCCAGCAGTAACACAGGACCAATGAGAAATAACTCTGACTAAACTGACTTTATTTATACTGGATAGCTCTAGTATGTTCGAAACTAGAGGTCCAGCAACAGTATTTTCTCTAGCAGTAACACAGGACCAATGAGAAATAACTCTGACTAAACTGACTTTATTTATACTGGATAGCTCTAGTATGTTCGAAACTAGAGGTCCAGCACCAGTATTTTCTCTAGCAGTAACACAGGACCAATGAGAAATAACTCTGACTAAACTGACTTTATTTATACTGGATAGCTCTAGTATGTTCAAAACTAGAGGTCCAGCAACAGTATTTTCTCTAGCAGTAACACAGGACCAATGAGAAATACCTCTGACTAAACTGACTTTATTCATACCATTTCGTTCTGTGTACAGTACATGTAGTATCAAAATATTGTATAAATAAGCTACTATACCTTTGACCAATTCTGCAGTAACTTTGGGATAGAGAAGAAGAACAACGTATAAAACAAGAAACCAGAAAGTCACAAGAGGAACGAAGTAGTAAAATTGATATGGACGACCCATGACAAGACACAAGATGACAACGAAAATATTCATGCGCACTACAACCTACAAACGAAAGATAAGATGACGTCATTTCATAAGCTCAAACGTGAGGATCCACGTAAAATTCTCACAACTTGTCAACAAGATGTGTTCGCAGTTCGTTTATCAAGTTGCTACAAGATTGTTACTCACAACTTGTTGACAAATTGTTGAATTGCAGGACGATAACAAGTTGTTCCAACAACTTGTAACAAGTCTGTTGAGCTCAACAACCTTTTGCAACTTGTCAACAAGCTGAGAACAAGCTCATATCAAATTCTGTTTGACAGAAAAGAGTATTTGTATGAAACAAGTACAGAGAATAAACGAAGGTTTGCTCACCTGACACATTCTGTACAGACTAAAATCGCCTTTCTTCCAAAAGTACGTGAAATGCCCGTAAGCAGACATGAAGAGATAGGAGGCGACAAGGAGACGGATAAATACGTAGAATGGCAAAACCTTGAATTTAAAAACAAAGTCGAAAATCAAAAATCTTTTTGTTTTGCAAACCTCAGTATACGAACAGTTTGGGGAGACATCTCCCGTAATGTCTAATGAGATAATTGTGTATTGAAATAAGTCAAAATGTGAAACAATGTGAACTCACGTAATGAAAAACTGTAATTTTGATAAAATTGAAATAACTCAAAATGTGAAAAGATAATAATGTACTGTACCTTACTGGCTCCGATATAATGATACAAAAGAATCATTAACTGTGCCCAGCCTTTCCACTCGTCTGATTGATCCCGATTTAGAAACGAAATCTACAGAAAACAACATGTGCGCTTTTTAACATCTATACGACTATTATAGCTGTACAAGAGATATCCAAAAGTAGAAATAGTGTGCAGTATAACACTATAGCTGCAGTACCTTTGACGCCGGCACTGGTGTCCAGGTATAAGCACCAAGAATTAGAAAAACAACCAACGTAATCACCACCACTAGATTACTATATTGTTTTTGTTCTTTCATAAATATATTTGTTCTGTTGGAAGAAACAATAATGTGAGCAAACAATCTACAGTATACGATACTTCTGATTCTGTGATCACAGTAGGAATTTTGCATCTGTAAATTCTAAGTTTTGAAGGATTTAAGGGAACTGACATAATGTTAACTGTTTCAGTTTCTTCAAACATTTCTTATACAAATATTTCAAAACTTTACCCATGCAAATTTCCTACTGTGATCACAGAAACTTTGATAGTGTACTGTAAAACCAGACTTTAGTCTACCCAACACCGCCATGGCTAACCTACCTATCACAAACATAAAAATACGCCATGATCAAAGTCAACTTTGCCATAGCTTTAAGAACGCAGTACGTTCTTTCTGACCACAACCATTGACAAGATGATTTATGTTGAGCGCCATTACTTTCAACATCTTGTTGCACCTGTGGTGAACGACACCGTCGACATAAAGACATCACCAGAAACAACAAAGTACTGGAAAGACAAAACAAGCTGAGTCAACTGTGAAATATCGTAGAAAAAGTTAATAAAGGACCGTAACAGGATGCATTGATAATACACCCTTTCGATAATTACGTCACAACTACACTGTTTTCAACTTCGGACCGCCTTAAATGGAAAGGATTTCAAGTTTTTTATCATGGGCTATGCACAGAGAAGCAGAACATCCTTCTTCAACACATGCGCGAAAAACAATTTTGGATTTTGATCAATAAATATGGAAATAAGCATTAACACGAGAACGAGGCTCCAGGTCATGACCTCGTTTTCGTGTTAAAGCTTATTTCCACATTTGTTGGTCAAAATAAATAATTCTTTTTCATGCATATGTTGAAGAAGGATGTTCTGTTTCTCTGTGCATAGCCCGTGAGAAAAAAAACTTGAAATCCTTTCCATTTAAGGTGGTCCTAAGTTGAAAACAGTGTAGTTGTGACGTAATTTTCGAAAGAGTGTATTATTACATCCGCCATGCAGGAGAATATGTCTTCATCTGTTTGTCTGTCAGTTGTTTGTTTATCAAACGTTTTCAAATTGATACAAAAATTTATGGGATTAGTACTTACCAAGCAACAAAAACGGCAAAAGAATTATACTGAAGTTGAGTGGTATGCTCTCTTGGTACACAGCATGACGCGTCAGCCGGTCTGATATACGCATTACAGAAACGATTCAGTAAAATGTATAGTTCCTACACAAGAAATAAAATATTGCACATATTTGGGAAAAAATCAAGCCATATTGCTAGTCTAATTGTTCCATAAATATGTTCCGTGTGCTTCCTAGCTGTAGCTTCCTAACTTAGCTCAGTGGACATCAAAGCCATTGGACATTGATTTTCCATTTAATTGCTAAATATCATAATAAAATAATACTAACCCATTGCACAACCCCGTTTACATAATGTAAACCATCTGTGGTGGATGACTGCTCTGTGTTCTTAACTAACATTCCTGGCTTGAAGATTTTTATTGATGTGTTATATCTACAAAACAGTAAACAGCCAACTTTCATCACAAGAGTGGAGGGGGGACTCTGGGGCTAGGGGGGGGGGGTTTATGTCCGTAACAAGATATGATCTTTACTGGACCATTTAAAAAGAGACCAGTTTAAATCTGATAAAAGCTACCCAGCATAAACTGTTTGTACTTACAAAGCTATTTCAGCCAAGCTGTTATAGATATTAATTTTTTCAACTGTAATGGTTTTTCGCACTGCACTGAGAAGAGATTCATCAACAGGTTCTACATAAAAAAACTTACAGAGTTATACCTTCACACTTTACGCTGCAAAATTGATGATGCATAAGCAAACTTGGTTGCTGTTGCCATTGTTCTGGTTGCTGTTGCCATTGTTCATTTACCTTGCAATTTCCAGGCAACAACAGGAGATTTTGGAAATTCATCTCTGTTCACTTTAATCTTCAATGCTTTCGAAGCTTTCAACATTTTTTCAAACTCTCCATCATTCACAGTGCCAAGTGCGTTCATCACATCTTTGACTCGTGTGAAGTTCGCTACAACACAGAATTACAATGAAACACAACTTTAACCCATTGATATACATGCAGTATTATTGAAAGATCTGTGCCATTGTAGGTATAGTACTGATAGTAACAAAACTTTTGGATTGATAGGGATACAACTACCTGAAAAATACAAGGAGATTGAATTACTTCAACTTTTCAAGCAAAAGTCATTTGTCAGGAAGTTAGGGGCAGACCATTAGAAAATTGATGGGGGGGGGGGCTTTTTTAACTTGTACAAATATTTTTTTTAAATTTTTTGCTTGTGCCGATAATTTTTTAAAATATAATCCCTAATCCTTGCACAATTTTTTTTTATTTCACCTTATAATTTTCCCTTTTGAAAAGTCTCTGCATAAATTTTTTTTCAAACTTTTTTGGGGCACAAATTTTTTTTCAAACTGTTTTGGTGCACAATTTTTTTTCTTTCCGTTTCCCCTGCGCAATTTTTATTTTTGCTCCCCCTCTCCCCATCACTTTTCTAATGGTCCGCCCCTTAGTAGCCCTCCCATCAATCAGAAGTTTTCTATGTGATATATTACTCTCTGACTTAAATGTCAAACAAATGTTAACCATGCAGACAGCTTGCTCATATCTCATGAACATGTTGGCCATTAAATTAATGAATGGATTAATGCTGGTTGTTAGTACGATGTTTTGTGGCAAACCTTTGTATTCTTGCAAAGCATTATCTCTATTCTTGATTGTCCACTAGAAAAAAGAACAATTTATGGAGGAAACTTAATTGTTAATGGAATAAACTTTAATATCAAAATGTAATAATTCATATTGGGTAATATAGTGTGAATGACTTAATAGCAAAATTACCAATGACGCCCCAGCCACAATGAAACTTGGTCGACCCACTGAATGCTATAAAAAAGTGAAAAAGAAATTAGAGTAAAATAGTACGATGTTACAAAGTGAGTCAAGAGTAAAAATGATACCTTGAGCCAATGCTTAAACAAGTATTCCATTGATGCGTTCACTTCTGGTATCCAAAAGAAGTTCTACAAGTCAAAAAACTCGTCACTTATGGATCATATTACAATCATGATTGGTGACCTTTTCATCCTTTAAGTTGCAATGTGCCATCATGATACAGCCTTCTTTATTATTTTACTCATTAATTAAGGACAGTACAGTAAGTGCGCCGGCGCTCAATGTAAAACACATGTGAAAATATATCCAACCTTAATTTAAAACAACTCATTTTACAGTTTTTATATAAATATAAACTTTCGGCTTACTATTGATACATTGTTTTCCCCAGTATATGACAAATTGCGGTGCTGTAAAAACAAGGGAAAATTGTTATCATATGGTGAGACTTTTTTTATTTATTGGTTTACGGATTCACCGACCGTAAATATTCAGAAAGTGAAAAAAAAAATTGGATGTCAACAATTTTACAATTTTAGTTAATTTGGGGTTCTGACATGAAGTACACGTCAAGTAAACTTTGACTCTATGTACTACTGGGTCATGATATCGTTGTGACAATTTTGAAAAACAACGTTTTTTTTTAAAATTTTTTTCCAACCTACCAACCTGTTTTTTTTTCAAGTCAAATCCGTATATCTTGCCTAATGATTCTACTTTTACATGACTTTGTATACTAACTCAGAGTTTACAAATTATAGGAGACCCAAATTCCTGAACCTAAGGTGCCTGGCTCCATGCTCATCGAGCTGGATTCTGGTTATTGCAATTCATTTTAACAGAGAGGCAAGGTTTACTGTACAATAAGAGACAAGTGCACATTTATTCATACAGCTTTTTTGTTCGCTTCTTCATCTGTTCCAGCTAGTTCATGAAGCAACAAATTATAAACATCTCTTAATCGTGAATCACCCACAAAAGCCAGCGGTCGGTTTTGCAGACACGTTCGAATCTCCCTAAATTAAAACAACAATGAGATTGGTCATTACTGTAAGGTTATTGTTAATCAGATTATCCACCCATGTGATCTAGTATTAACCGTTGAATTTCATATCACTCCAATGTACTCCCTACTTTATTATTTAACTTTGTGTAACCCAGATCATTTTATTGTCAAAGGGAAAGTGCTGCCACTCAATACAAGTAAATCAAACTATCTACCCATGTGTCTAGTTAACCCATAAAGTTCTATATTACGCACACCCTAATAAACATTACAATACTTTATTTCTACTCTGTCTAATAGATTATAATGCCAGACAATGTTACTCATGAAGGGAAGAGTACTGACGTTCAATGAGATAATTAGACTCTACCCATGCCTGCATGTAGTTAACCCGGCCATCAAGTTGCACAGTCTCTAGTCCAATATTTAACTTGTTGAGGACAGTTCCCTGGCACTCAATGAGTTAAATGTCTATTGTCAGAAAGAATTGAAATCCAAGTGATATTATAGAACATGTAATTATATCATTTTCAAATTACTTCATGTGATATTGATGCATCATGCAACCAAAAGGCTGCCATATCTCTTCTCCAAGTCCCTCCCTCCATCTTCCTTTTGTCAAAAGATGCGTACAACTGCCACTTCCTAGAGAAAACGTGTCACAATTATTGTGCTAATATTGGCAAAGGGGGGGGGGGGTGAGATGTTAGCACATGCAGGGATGGTTTACTGGGGGGTGCACCCCTACTAGTTTTGGAAATGGGGGTGAGGCATCATGGCCGTAGGAAGCTCTTTTCGATTGGGGGGACTGAAAGCGAGGGCCGAAGGCCCAAGGAAATTTTTAAATTTAGAGTCTCTGGACTTTGGGGAAGATTTGATAGAATTCTGATGGTCACAAAACAGCATTTTAGTATGTCGAAATTTACAATTTAGTAGTACTAAATGGGCGAAGGCATATCTAATTAACTATATATTGGATGAGTTGCAAGAAAGTATGGGTAATATCTAAAGTCTGCATGATTTAGAAAAACAAATGATTATAAGCAAATTATTGGGGGGGGGGGGCTGCAGCCCCCCCGGTTGCTACGGCCCTGGGCATAAAACCACTTGACTACCGAGGAATTAATCTTGAGCTGTCTGTTATAGTTGTATCCCTAGCAATATGAGGGAAACATTTTTGTCAGATGAATAGCATCTACATATTTGGATCTGGTGTAAGACAAAATTATAACCACAGCAAAAATAAAAGGAATTTTTTGAAGAACGATGCTGCACGTGTATCTTTCTTCAAAAATTCCTTTTATTGACAACGTTTGACAGTTTCTCAGGAAGCAGACGGTCAGACAGATCACGTTAATATTTAACAGGTCGAATTAAGACTCGAAACAAATCTCAAACAATCACTTATAAATATTAGCCTTGCCCAACTTCAAGGTGGAAGGAAACAAGAGATATCACTTCAAAATGCAACAAGGCATGAAAACAGAACATGAAATAGAAAACTCGAGAAAACCTACCCTCGTGTGCGCCACGTAGCAAATGCGATACGAAAGCCACAACAACAATGATGACTGCAATTATCTTGCATAAACTCTCGTATTTGGAGCTTTTAGCCCCATCCATTTTTACAGGAGCTTTAGCATGGTTCTGGCCATTATTTACCAGGGTTTTTGTCTCTTGCAAGGCTGTTGTTTCTTCACAAGAGCTTCCTTCCTTTCCTTTGAACGAAGCCATTCCAGATTTCCAATCAAGCGTAGCCACCCCCTGACCTGTACATAGAACTGGAGTGATATTGTAGTAGAGCTCAGTGACCACGCTCCAGTGACAGAATCAGCTCAGTGGACATAATATGTCACACTGAACTCAGAACTATTACAGGATGGTGCATCTGGTCCTGAAGAAAAGTGTGTGTGCGTGCGTGTGCGTGTGTGTGTGTGTGTGTGTGTGTGGGGGGGGGGGGGGGGGGGGGG